GGTAGTATTCTTCTTACACTGGCTCGTCATATGTCCTCGCTCTCCTCCGTTCCAACAACCTTTCTGGGTAGTAGCTTTTCCTGCTGTGGCATCTTCCCTGTGTTGAAGTTGCCAACATTGAGCTCTCTTGTGGCCAGGTTTAGTACAGTGCCAGCAAAGTCCCTCAAACTTCTCTGAAAGCTGACTTTTTCTTGCCTTGAATCCTGACGACTGTACCAACTTTGGTACCTCTGTGCTGGACTTAACGTAGGATTCAAATTCGAGAGCTCTGGCCATTGCATCCTGCATAGTAGAGGGGTGTGCTTGCTTCACTTGTATCTTTAGTTGTGGACTGTCCAAGGTGTCTACAAACTGATCTCTCAGCAACAGCTTGAGAACATTGGGTGGTGCAGTTGGGTAAGCCATACTTTCCAAATCTTGTGCCAGCTCTTGCAGGCTCTCCTCTTTAGCACGGACTCTAGTTCCAAACCTAGCCCTGTAGACTTCTGGCTGATTTTGATACCTGATTTCTAGAGCAGCTACCAGTGCTCTATAGTTGTGCCTGTCGGCTGCTGTCAACTGTCCAAGTATTTCCAGTGGTTGTCCCTTCAGGCTCATTGCCAGGTACACTGCTTTCTGCTCCTCTGTCCATCCATTCATTTCTGCCAGGAGTTCAAATTGTGCTCTATATGCTACCCATTGAATTCCTGTGGCTTTCTTCATACTAGATCACCCCTATTGCTGACACACATGTCTGGAATGGGACTTATGGCAGGACTGAAGATGTCTGCATTAGGGTTTAGCTGCAGGGTCTGGGAGGGGCTTCCTGTTGTGTGTGGCTGATTAGGTCCTTAGTTAATATATCCTCCCTGAGTAAAAGACAGTAAATCGTCTTTTAGTGTATTTAATTCACTTTGAAATTTATTAATTTTTTCCATTTGTACTTCATGCTAATGTTGTACTTTCTCTCCTTGTTCTTCTTGCCACTGTTGCTAACTTTCATGTAACTGTTGGAGACTTTCTTCCTCTTTCCTTTCTTGTTCCAGTTGCCACTGGTTTTCTTGCCACTGCTGTAGTCTCTCTTCTTGTTTATTTCCTTTCTCCTCCAACCACCCATGTATTGAAAGCATACTGGCAACAAACGGTCTTCTTTTTTTTTTCTCGTTCTTCTTTTTTTTCTCGTTCTTCTTGTTTCTTTTCTTTTTCCTCCAGCAACTGCTGTAATCTCTGTTCTTGTTTCTTTTCTTTTTCCTTCATCCACTGCTGTAGTCTCTCTTCTTGTTTATTTCCTTTCTCCTCCAACCACCCATGTATTGAAA